AAATACAACCGAGTCAACTTCCCCTGAAGGAAACCAGTCACATCGGACCCGACACTGATACAAACATATTTCTCCAGACAGTACACTCTTGTACATTTTGGATAAATAAAATCAACGTTTATTGTTTTTTTAAACCTCTGCTTTTGTCTCTTCATTGTCTTGGCTGTTTACACCTTTCTTCTAAAAGCATGCGGGGGCAACATCCTTATCGGCCCTGCAACACTTAAATGCTGTTTTTGCATGAATACTAAAGTGTTGCATTCCTTTGTTCTGAGTAAAATGTGTTGATATGATCCATCGCCAACAATTATGCAATTGCTGTGAAGCAAAATGTATAGTTTGTGACATATCACATCAGAGGGTCACCATTGTGAAAATATTCAGCCTCATCAACATCAGTTGAGGCTGACTTTTCATATCTGTTGAATCTGAAGATGAAAGTTCACTGGAAGAACTTTCTAGATTCTTATGCAGCATTCAAGGTTTCCTTGGAAACTACAATAGAAATTTAATCAAATTTAATTTTCTGTGACATATAACTAAACCTTTTATTTTATTTATCTGATACAATTCTAAAATCTCTAAATGCAACTTTTTGTTTTGAAATTAATAAGAAAAATGTACAGTTATAGTCAAATTACCATGTTGAATAATACTTGTTTGTTGAATGCAGTGTATGGCAAGGTACTTGGTTATTTTAGAATATTTCAGATGTTATATCTAGTTATAGGTGGAAACCTTAGCAATTTTTTTTTTATTGCTCTTTAGTATTCCATTTTTGGTTAAGTTTCTGGCACATTTGTTTATACTTATCATAAACCATTTGACTCCCACCTCTAAATTTTACAGTTTTTATTATATATATTGATTGGATTGTTTCTTGTTCTAATTGGTCTTTGTGAATACTTACATTAGAATGTAAATCAATTTTGCTTTTGTCACTAAATATAATTTTTGTCTATTTTTATCATCCTATAGCAGATGTTATTTTTGCTCATTGTTTTAGTTTTGTTCAATGTTTTTTAGTTGAAGATGGATTCTTGCTTCAATGCATCTATTTAGATTATTTCTATTTATTATCCTTTTTATTGCATTAACACTTCACTAGTGATACTGCATTCATTTATTACTTGAAATTTAAATCAACTACACTTAAATGTCAAACAGAAGGCTCCAAAATTAATGAAGTTTGTGCTTGGTTCATTTAAAATTAGATATTTGCATGTGTATTTTAATCTATTTAAATGTTTATCATTTTTCATGCCTTATTTCTTGTATCTCTCCTTGTACTGCATCAATATGAATGCAACAACTACAATTCTAAATGATTCCACATATAACTCCTGAATGTACATTGTCTAATTTCATAGTAAAAATTAAACAAATTAATATTTTTTTAGCTTTGTCACTCATTTCTCTATGTTAAGGCATCATAAATATAACATTACTAGAAAGGTTTCAATCACTTCTAGTCAAAAATGAGTGTCAAGGAAAGTATATTAAAGTCAAGAAGATTATGGCAATTTTGCTCAGGCTGTTCTTATAGTTCATGAATTGTGCCACTCAATTGGTGAAAATAATTTACAAGACAACAATTTTCTTTATAGGCAACAAATTTTCTTTGAAATGTATTTCTTTGCATATACATGTTGTAAACTTTCTAATAATCATTTTCCTTTATATATATCATTTTCATTTAAATGTATAAAAAAAAAGAAAAATTACAAAATCTTTAAAAATGTTTGTTTTACAGTTGAAAGTTTAAAGCTTTTTGTAAACTCTCTTACTTTTTTTTAAGCTATTGTATTGGTAAATGGTCGTAGAAGTTCATTTCATACATGTTTACATGCTTATTTTCAAAAACAAAGCAAAACTTCATTATCCATGATTTACTTTCTACATATTTATTTACCCACAGTCAACTCCAGAAATAACCAATTCCTAAAGTTTACTTAATGGTTATAAGGCACAAGAGCAGCGATGTTGATTATTCACATATGCTAATGAAATGACAGAAAGTTCTTTAAGTGAAGAGGGAAAGATTTTTGACTTGATCGAGAAAATTATATTGTATGCAGAGGTTGCTAAAGTCTACAATAAGAAAACAAATCTCATCAGTCATATAATTTAATAATACAATTTCTTATGCTTACTTTATAAATTAATTAAATTAAACTTTATCATATATATGCATGTAAAGTCAATTTGTATAGGTTTCAGTACTATCCATGGTTTCAGACATCTGTTTGGTGTCTTGAAACATGTCTCCTACAAACAAGAGGACTACTGTATGTATAACCATACATAAATGTATACATATGTACATTTCTTTTCTCCAAAAGTCATACATCTTTGAATAAATAAAAATAGAGAAACAAAAAATATAACTATTAAGAAAATGGCAATAAATCATTTAGTTTTAATCTTAATCCCATCTTTTATAAAAGTATTCTTTTTATTTTTGTGTTGCATTATGCCATATTACTGTAAAGTATTAAGTTAAGATATATAAAACCTATTATAAATTGTTTGCTAACCTTAATGAAAATATAATCTGTATAGTTATATTGTTAACTGCATTCTACACCCTAAAAAGATGTTCATATTACTGATAGTGTTTTAAAAATATTACATTGGTTATATATGTGACTATGTATAGAAATTCATTTGCCTACATTTTGTTTCTGACATGCAAATTCAAAATCAAATACATAAAATAATTACATTAGAATAAAAACTAATTATGTTCATAAAGATTCTCTCTAAAATTAAATCATTTATGAAGATGTGTGTGTGTGTGTGTGTACGCACACACACATCACATAAAAATTAAAATGGAAATATATATTTAATCTTGGCTTATTTTTTTTCAGATAATTAGATTTACTCCATTCAAATTTTAATAACTAGATAGGGTTTTGAATAAAAAATAGGGAAATATTCTACTTCATATTTTAAAGTATTTCACACTACTTTCCATAACAAGTTTATATTATTAAAACTGGTTCAATGACATCAGCAATAAAAGTATAAGATATGCACAATAAAAACACAGACAAAAAATAAAAATCAAAGTCATGCTAAAATAAAATTGATGTTAAACAATTATTTTTTTTAAATGGGATAAATATCAAAATATAAAATATTTTTTACATGCTTATTTGGAAAATTATTTCTTCCTGTTATCTATATGATATGCAAAAATTAATATTATTTTAAACTACAGAATATTTCATATTTTGCAGTAAAATGTTAGTGCAATGAACTTAACAGATAATGTTAATAAAGCGTCATTATTTTTATATACACAATATTGTTTAATTTTGATGAGCTTATATGAACATACATGCAATTAAACATATGCATAGAACAAGACACACATTCATATATAAATAATTCCCATAATGTACCCTGAAACTTTCATATCATATGAAGCAATGGGGATGATAATTGTATGTTACCATAAATTATGCAGAAAATACTGTTTGTTTGATCATAGAAGTTGTCAGAGTTTCTCATTACTATAATAATCTTATATATAATTGGCACATATATATATATATATATATATATATATATATATATATATACACACACAGAGTTATAATCTGTAATCTGCAGAATTTTTGTTCTAGAACATACATAAAGTAAATAGTTTAGCACCTTTGGGCATAACTGGATAGAGAAGTCATAACTACTTATGAAATATCACAATAAATAGCTTTTTTTAGTGTAGGAAGCAAAGGAAAATTATTATTGTCCTTCAAGATACTGTAAAATGATCCCAAAAATTAAGGAAAAGTATTAAATGAAAATATTATAAAAATATAAGTTCCAAAGAAATAATAGAAAAAAAACCAGATACATAAACAAATTGTGACCAGAAAAATGAACAAATGCTGATTAAGGCAAAGAAAATTGTTAAAAAAAAACAAAATACAAAGAAATTGTGGTAACAATTTCATGCTTGAGTGACTGAAACAACAAACAAAATTTTAATAAGAAAGAAAAATCAAATCAAGCATTGAAAACCAGGAAAAGTAGAAAATGTAATAGCATGTCAATTAATTCAAACTAAAAAAAGTGTGAGGCGGGAAATGGTAAGAAAGATTAGAGGGTGGCTGAGTAGATAAAAGATAGGGTAACATTTGAGTATGATGATTTGTTTGAACTAGCTCCTTTATACATAGCATTTTTTTTACATTACTATAATGTAATATTAAGTGGATGTATTCTCAATTATCTTGTATCAAAATGTGCAACTAGTTTTTATATATATATATATATATATATATATGGTAGATTGTGGTATCATATATTTTGCAAGTGCATAAAATTATTAGCTATAAAGTCATCTACAGCTGAAATTTTTTTATAAAAATTATATTTCTGCTATATAGATTGTTATTGCAGTCATAAAGATGGCATGAAAATCTTGTATTATTGGTCATTTGAGTAAAGAGAAAGATTTAAATTTTATGAGCTCATATATGCATAATATTTCTTAGTTTCTTTATTGCATTCAATCATATTAGAATAAGAAATATCCACAATCTGTTCAATAATCAACTTGAACATACAGATTTCAAGATTTTGTCAATTTATTTTTCTTTCAATTCGCTTAAAATATCATTTTGGCATGGCAATAAAAAAACTATAAAATTGAGGAAAGATAGAATGCTACAATTATTGTAACAAAAATGTTAAAAAATTAACCTTTTGTAACACCAATCTTTCTGCTTTCAATTTCAACAGCTATTGTTCTAAGTAATCACAAAATAAAATTGAACTATTATTTCATTGTGAATGTCTTAGTACATTAATTTGCAGATTTGACAAATTGATTATTTTCTCCTGGACTGTGACAATGGAACAAAAAAAAAAAAAAATTTTTTAGTGAGAACAAATCACCAACTTTTACTGCTACCTTATCTAACAACTAGGAAAAAAACTTTTTAAAGACCAAGATGCTGTAAAGAGGAATTAAGAGGAAGGAGCACCTGTAGATTTGGACAAGGGCTTTGCGTCGGAGTCTGGTGGTGACAGATATGATGCGCTGCCTCCCTCAGATTTCAGAGAGTGTGCCCGGTCTGCACTTTGGGAACGCATTTTTGAGCGAGAGCGACCAAACCGCTTCTTCAGTGTCCTTGCAAGGGAGAAGGATTTCTTTTTCTCTGGAGACGTGAGGGAAGTAGAAAGGTTTCAAAATGAAGCAGCATGGAGGTTAGGGTGGAAAGCAAAAAGATAAAATATGGAGGAAAAATTATGAACTTACTTTCTGAAGCTTTTAGTTACCTTAAAGCATCTTAGTTGCTTACACATTATTTAGCAATGGATTTATTCTAATATTGCTGTGGTATGTACCATAGAGCAGAAAAAAATCTATGTTAGTAATAAAATCAATAATAAAGCCTATAGTTATCTTTCTTTGTACCCGAGAAGTGTTTTAAAGTGCAAAATCGATTGATCTTTTTAAATTGAAGTTTTAATCAATATTTCAGATATTGTGAATTTTTCAACCATAGTCCAACTTAATTTCTCAAATTATTATAGCTAGATCTGAGAGTGTATGTATGCATGTTATCTTTCTTTGGATACAACGAATATTTGAATTTGTACTTAGATCAATTATTAGCACTCAAAATGAATAGTTAAATGTTAGTGGATTTTGAATAGCATTGAAATCTCACAGCTGATTTCTTTATGGTGATTTCTTTCAGATTTAATACAATCAAGTAAGAATAAATAATGAAAGTCTTAACAAAAGTAAGTTAAATTGACAAAATAAATTTAAATATTACTAAATTCTTTTTGATTAGATATGATCACATGAAAGGAAAATTATTCATATTCTGTTTTGCTTATCTTGTAAGCCACACAAGATAATAAGAATACAATAAACTTATCATTTTGCAGTAGAATATTCAAATTTAAGAAAAGTGAATATTTTGCTAATCTAATTTTACCCTCAACAATATATTCACTATCAAATTATGTGGAAAGATTTAATTATGATAATGGTGATCATCATTATTATCAAATATTAATAACTATTTTTGGTGTAGAATACAATACTGAATTTATATATGATACAGCTCAAAATAGACACAACTAATACAGAGGTATCATTGAAAAAAATGTCATTAGTAATGAGGTTACCTTCTCAGATTCTCTCTTGATTTTATTTATCTAATCACATTTTATATATTGTGAGTTTGACATTACTTTATTAAAAATAAAGTAATGTAAACCAATTCCTGTCAATATTTAACAGATTTATATTCAGCTGAGGATAATGAATTCCCACTAAAATCATTTAAGTTACCTTGGCAAATATCATTGATCTTAGTTAATGACAAAATTCAATTGAAACTGTGGTACAAATTTTAAGTGCCAAAGCTGTTAGGATTTTAGGTCCTCAAGCTAAGAGTGAAATATTTTCTCAATAAATAAGTTACTTTAAATCTTTGTATTCTATGGACAATATGAAGAAAAACAAATGCACATTAAATTACATTATTTTTCAAAAAAAAAAAAAAAAAATTAATTGCCAGTAAATCTAATTTACAAGTGAATAATATCAAATACACAAATCTTAGAAATCAGATCATTTAGAAATTAATAAAATAACTTTTGCTTGGTGTTAACGTATCTTAACAGAAATTAATTTTTTTTAAATTAACAAATAGAATTTTTGTTCATGCTTACTTGTATTCTTGAGAAATTACTTTGACAGTAAATATTGAATGATAATATTTATTATGGAATCATATTTATGAATGAAAATATAAACAAAACATCAAGCTGACATTTAGTTATAATTTTCCTAACAAAATTAAAGTTTTTTTTCAGTTTTAAAAACACATTTTTCTAATTTTTTGAGTGATTTTTATTGTATACACTAAAGTCATCTGCTGTAGAGATGGTTAGCAAGCTAGTGTCACAAACACATTAGTATAGTGAGGGATCCTCATTTCTTGCACCATTATTATGAACCTATGTAAAATTAAGCCATATCTAATTAAACCGATTTCAGTATAAAAAGTAATTAATAAGTTATTTTGATTGTTGTGATTTCTCAACCTTGGGAACTTGTCTGTTAATGAAGCCCTTGTTAGAAATATCACCTGTTCACAGAAGTATCTCTATGTTTGAATTGATCTTTACTCAATGGAATAAATAGCAAATGATTATCAATTTCTTTCAAGAGTGTCAAAGTTCCCACAGCATTTTCAAAGAAACAGTGATAAAATATGTTGATGTTTATGCCAAAGGGTTAATTGTTAAGGTTAAATGGGATTATAAAAAAAAACTTTGGATTGTTTGCTTTTTTTTTTTTTTTTTAGAGATAACCAGCACATAATCAAAAGGCATGGGAAAGTGATTGAAACTTTGAAAACTATTAAAACAATGGATAAATGTGTAAGCAAATTAAACATTTACCAAAAAAGCAAATGGGAAAGGTCACAATGACAGAAATGATATTTAATTTGATATATGTTAAAAAAAGCACTAACAAAGCAGTAATATTGAATCTAGTGAATAAGAACTAAATTTTACTTAAAAATAAAAGGGAAAATAATGATGAATATGTCAAATTAACAGCAGATGGAAAAAAACTGAAATTTAAAATGAATTGTTAAATTTGGCTGAGAGAAGGAAATAAAATAAATAAATTTTAAATTGCATAATTAACAAAAGCATCAACAGGATCATAAAATGATTTTTGAAGTTGGTAGACTGAGGAAATAGCAACTAAATTTGATATTATAATAATAATAATAAACTAAATGGATTAAACAGTGTAATAGATAAAAAATACTAGAATTCTGTATAATGAAATTATACATCAAATTATAAACAGTGATAACCAAAACAATTTTAAAGATATTTTTTAAGTTATCATATCACATCAAAATATTTTATCTTCATTTCTCAAAACCTCTCCAGTTTTTCTACATTATAAAAAACATAAAATATATTAAGCTGTTAATTTGTCTGAGTATATATTTAAACTAAAAAAAAAAAAAAAAATAAATATATAATTCTTTAAATGAAAAAGATAAAAATATTGTAGTATTAAAAATCAAAAACATTATTTACATATGATTGTTTATATTTTAGTAAATTTACAGACAGGCATTTGTAATTCTTAGCACTATGACTTAATTTTTATTTAATGTGACCAAAGCAAATATGTAAATATGTAGTAAAATCTACCCCCCCCCAAAAAAAACAAACAGTCAAAATCCTGATTATTTAAACTTGTATAGTGTCAACTCTTGTTTTGTGGCAATAATCATTGTTCAAGAGTTAAGTACAGTATTATAAAGTTAATTGACTACATGAGGTAACATCCAAATATTTATTGCCACTCAAAATATAATCCCTCAAATTAAATATTGATAAACTGTTCATTATAAGGCCATCAGCTATACTATATTAAATATCAAAATGAAAGAGAATTTGATAATGTAAGAAAACAAATTGAAAAATAAAGATTACTAACAAAAATATTAGAATATTGATTGTATGAAAAATACTAAAATTGAATAAAGAAAAAAATCATTAAAAATGCATTTACAGTCTGCTTAAGAATATTTAAAAATCAAATTACACATTGAAAACATTAAATTGCATTAAGAATGCATGAATTATCAATGAGTTTATAACATTAGTATTTTTGATTTTATTTCTTTTTTATCTATTATGAGAAATTATCTTCTAACTTAGAAATCATTATATTTATATAAGTGCAAAATCTGAGATACCTAAAAGACAAACAATGATATAAAAACAATGACAAAGATAATTTTTATAATAAAAATAAAACATTTATTGTTTGAAGTTCTAAAGTAAATATTATTTGATGAATTATTCAGATGTGTATCCATTCCTTTTTTGATCACTACATTTTGGCTTACCTTCCACAGATATATGCTACTGCTTCCAATTGATAAGAAAACAAAATGATGATTGGAAATGACATTTGAACCCCCCCCCCCAAAAAAAAAACCAAGGAACCCCTATTCCAAATGTAATGATTGAAACAACAAAGGTGAACCTATTTGTTTGAATAATTCATCAAATAAGAAATAACTATGCAAATGTTAACAACCCCAAATATTATTATTATTATTATTAATAATAATAATAATAATAATAATAATAATATAATAATAATAATAATAATAATAATAATAATAATAATAATAATAATAATAATAATAATAATAGTAGTAGTAGTAGTAGTTATTCTTAAAAGTTTCAATAACATTTTATTAAACCTTGATAATATCCACAAGAAATAACACACACAAAGGTTTGGAGGAGAAAGGTTAAATAAACACAAAAGTAGCAGAGGTTGACCATAAATGAAGCCATAAGCTTGTCCTGGGATGATAAAAAGATGTAATTAATGGATCAATGGCAGACTGACAACTAAATACATTGAATGAATGAAGGGCAAAACAAGTAGGCTCCAGTGGGCAAATAGAACTTGTCCATTAATAAACAGAAAAATTACCACCAGAGTTTTTGCAATCCTAATACATTTCTTCAAAACTTAAAAATTATGGCTGATAATATTTTTTTCTTAAACGTACTTTCATTAGAATTAAAACATTTTATATGATTTTTTTGTGAAGGGCTAATTTAAAAGTTCGGTGAGGATTATTAAAAAACATGTTTTAATGTTATATATAATTTTCTTATTAATAAATACACACACAATTCACTGAAAAAGTATATAGTTTACAGATTAAATCTACCAAATATTGCACACTTATTTGAGTATTCATTAGCTTATATATAAAACCTATTATATGAATAGAATTTCTTATCAAATATGAATCATTAGATCCGGTCTACTTTTCTGACAGGGACATCATGAAAAATGTCTAATTACAGAGGACTTGCTTATACTGTGGAAATTATCCTTATTATAAATTTATTATTTTCTTCAATAGGATTTGCTTATTTTCTACCACTGAACTATTATATGGAAACATAAGTACAATAATCAGTTCTTCATGTAATATATCCTATAAGTTAAAATTATAAACACCATTTTTTAATAATTTATGATGATAATAGGTTTTATTTCTCAGCTTAATTTTTCAACTTAAGCTTGTAATTGTTAGTATAGAAATTCAAGATGGTATAATATATCATA